TTCCCACAGGGTTCAATATGTATAATGTGCAGTTGTAACAGTGCAGTGTACATTATCGCAATATGTAAATGTAATTTTATATATTCTGCAATATAACAATTTTATTTTCTAAATCTTAGTTTTATGGCAAATATTAAGGCTAAAACCCATAAAACTCATAATTATGTAGCATAAATACAGATGTGATAAATGTGCAGTGTACAAACTACTTAAATCACAACAAACAGCAGCTCTGTAACTTTATGAAGAACTAAAATTTCAAATACAAGCTCAACACCACAGTTTTCAACCAAACTTGTGAGAGAATACTACTGTTCTTCCCAGAGCCAGTGTCCTATCTCCAGCAGAAATTCTGTCAGTACTATAACTAAATTAAAAATCACTTTTAAAATATATTAACAAATAATACTAATCAAAAGGATTATTTCTTTCTCACTGCAAATCTTTTAAGAAAGGCAGCAATCATTTATGACAATGCAGAATGTGTCAGTCTCAAGTTATACAGCAATTCTGACAGCACATGACAGGGAAGCTCACAAAAAAAAAGACAAATTCTATAGCAAAGCAGATGTTATTCTTACATTGCATGACCCCGGATCCCATCCCACCCATGCAACAGGCCCATGCAATTACACTGCAGCTTAAGGTGTTAGCAAGTCTTGAAGGAGCATCTGCTTCAACTGATGTTTTCTCTACTCATTAATAAAAGGAACAAGTGTCAGTAACTCACAGTACAGCACAATGTCTTGGCAACAGATAACGACCATTAACTTCATATAGCGATGAAGTTGCCAGAAAATACCACAGGCTCTGGGTTTTTATATACGGTTTATTTCCCACAATCAGAACATTTTCTCTTGCAAAACACTAGATATCTATGGAGATAGCAGTACCCAATAGTCCAGCAAAATTCAGTACGTAACAGTTAAAAAGTGTCTTTTTTTTCCCCCCCCTTTTTTTAAATAGGAAAAACCTTTGCATACTCAAATCCAGATGGAAAGTTACTGCAAAGTGTTTATTCTAATTTATTATACACACATATACGTGTGCACTTACTGAAGGAGCCACACTGTCCACCACAAATTCCTATCAAGTTGCTTGGTCCTGATAACCCTCAGTTCATTGTTCCCAGTTGGAAAGCCTGTTCTTTTTAATAACCAATTCAATAAACTGTTGAAAAATGCTTTGTATAATATAGTATTGCCATAGATCTGATGTTTGTCTCTGTCATTACATATTGCATTCAATCAATTTACAAATGTTGCTGTGTTCCTTTTGTGCTAGTTCGTCTTATGGCATCCCGAACACAAATCCAAAGATCAATACCTTGTCTGCTGAAAAAAAAATAAAAATTGGACATAACAAATGAAAAATTTGATTTATAATAAAAGTCCTAGTTCCCAAATGGATTCTACTAATGTTCAAATTCATTTTTCATGTTTAACACACAACGAAAGCAAGTACACTGCACAATGCAATGAGAAAGGCAGTCATAAAAAACCAGTTCATATTTATTGAAGATGTGAGCAAAACCATATAAAGCTATGGTGGATGGCTAGGAACACATCAATAAAATGGTAGGTCATTCACAAAGTATTTGTTAGCATATTAAAGAGCAAAAAGTCCCTGTCAAAGAGCAGATGGATTTTCTTTAAAAAGACAAGACAGTTCTGCTCTCAACTATGGAAGCAGCAAGGCTCGGAATGAAATAATTTAAGTAAGGTGACAAGTAGAAGCTTAGATCATGCTGGTTGCATGATCTTGTGCCTTTTGTGTGACAAAAACAAAGTATTTGCTGACTATAGACCTGCACTATTCCAGGTACCGAATAGCTACCTCCTCTAAAACAACTCTGCAGTTCTTCAAGGCAGCCACAAATGACTTCTTGCACGATCGCTCTTTGCAGAGCAGCAAGCTAACAGAACTTAGAGGAAACAGGGACTCTACTTTTCATAGAAAATGGTATTGGTACCTGTATATGCGTACAAATCCCAGCCAGCTGGCATAATAACCAGATTACCTCCTCCCCACTCCCAAGCTAACTGCCAAGCTGTGCACTCCACGCACCAATCCCACCCAGACTCCTGGCTCCGTGACAGTCCACAGGCATCAGCAACACAAAATCCTCCCATTTCTGTGCGAAACAGAAAACTAACATAAGAACAAACCCCAAAAACCAATCTCTCATTAATGAAGAATGTGGCCAACAACACATGCCTAGCTTTCTCTGAAACAGACAAGTAGAAGGGGCAGGGAAGCTCCATCTTCCCCTCTGAACTACATGCAAGAGCAGAGCAGGTACGTGCTCCTCGTTTTGTCATGGGAATTGAGTGACTCGATGTCTTCGGACAGACTGTGGTCAGATACCTCTGAGCCATAACCATTGTCCTCATAGGTGACAGAAAAGAGACTGGATGACCTGAGGGGAACACACACTAATCCTCCACGCTGATCATGTGTAGCTCTCCCTCCCCATCTGGTTGTGCCAAAAGAGGAGAATGAGTTTGCTGCTGCTGTCAAACACACACAGTAGAGATTCCAGTTTAATGCCTGATGTCTCTTACTCAACACTAAGATCCCAGTTACCTCCTATTCCAGAATCTGCACTAATCCCTCAAAGGGATCCTGTCTGTTAGACCAGAAGTCTAACGCTGCAGCAAATGAGCTCTCTCCAGGAACAGGGGAACTCTTTCCTTACCGTGAATACTGTGTTCTTGCTATTCCTACTCTTATAGTTACTATTAGCACAGTTTGACTTTCAAGTGTCAAGCTGAATTCACAGGACTGGCAGCTGGAAATAAAACAAAACTTTGTAATGCTTTACCTGAACAAGCATGCTTTGGCATTGCTCAGATCACAAACACCAAACTCCATGAGACCATTTTGACTGATTTTTTTCCAGAGCATAGCTTTATTTTAAACCTATTACAGCAAATTCACAACTTCAATCCTACGTTCTGTTTCAAGATGGAATTTCAACCTTACTAGTTAATTAAAGCCACCACCTGGAGTGAGCTGGCTTTCAAACTGATTTCCATTGTCTCTCTAATTCACACACATTAATATTTTATTTTCTACTAAAAAAAGAAGAATGAGAAGGAATGTCACAAGTGTGCCAAAGACAAGGCAGATAAAATTATTGCAATAAAACAAAGAAAATACACTTGTTACTGCCAGGTCTTGAGATGAATGCTGCATTATACAGACCATTTAAAAAGGCTTACAACTGCAAATTGCTCTATTTTACACACTGTATTCTAGCCTTTGCGTCAAGATCTTTTCTAATTTTTTCTTATTGTAATGAGAAAGGGAAAGGGTTGGGATTTTCTTATTTGAGCATTTATTCACTGGAGAACCAAAGACTACATTACATATTACAACACATGAGCTATTAAAACAATGTGGCACTTTAAAATATGATGCAATACTCATTATGGGATAACAAAGCAAAACCTGAGCAAATAAATGTATTCACCAGTCAACAATAACTATACAACTAGAGTTTAATTATTTACAAAGGAAAGAAGCTTGTAATAATTAAGTTTTATAAGCTGCTTAAATTGTTACTACTAGGTGCTCACAAAACTTTAAAAAATAAAATCTTTCATTTGAAATAACTCTATTTTTAACAACCGATGCAATTGTTCACTTAACTGATTAATTGAAAAAATTGTTAATTATTGTTTTTAAAATTTACACACACAGTACAGATAACATTTTACTTTGTCATCTGGACAACGTATACCAACATACTGCTCAGGCACTTAGAGACTCTTCATCTCACAGCGACTGATGTGACACTGTCTTTAGATAGCTTTGTAATTAAAAAAAAAAAAAATTCAAATGTGAAAATCACATCAATTTACAACAGATACTTCAGAAACTTGAAGTTGAGAAGAACTGTTCATTTAATTCATTAAAATATATTCCTGAGATAGTAACACCTTTAAAGTTTCTATAAAGTCTATGCATCTTTGCCACGTATTTATAACCAAAGGATCTGAGTTCTGGTACAGACACCACTCAAAGCAGGTGTAGAGAGAAGTTCCACAGGGAACAACTACAATCTACAGAAGTAGTAGGAGGAGATGAAGGTTCCATATTTCAGAAGAAACACATTTATGGGTTTAAAAAAATATATTAAAGGTTACTAAATTTTAAATTATACATTAACATAAAACTACGTCAGAACAAGAAAGCCTTCTTCTTTTCCCAAAACACATTCAGCCATTGCCTGAGTTCCTATGAAAATTTTACCATGCACCACTACAGAAATAAAGTGATTAATCTTGAGTATTTCTGAAAAGTTCCACCTCCAAACACTGAAATCAGCACAAGTTAAACAGCAGCAGAGTTTTGAGTGGAAGATAACATGCCGCACTACAAAACACACTAAATAGGTACATTCAGCATCTTGCAGAATCAAGTTCCTACACAGTTTCTGAACAGAGAATTTTACTTACAACATCAGGCTTCGTTTTTTCCTGAGGAAATGTGTGTGCTATGCAGATGGCTTATTTAATCCATTCCTACCTAAATTAATCAAAGCAGTCTGTCCCCAAAAAATAGGTGTCTTCATACAAGATTCCACTACTGTTTGACAAATTGTGGACATTTAGCTGGGGGAAGTTGAAAATCCTCCATAAAGAAGTTACCACAGCTAAAAATAAGTGACATTATTAAAAGGGAAACAGGATGTGTTATTTAGCATAATATGAAATTTAAACAGTACCACCTTGGATAAACTCTAAAATGCTGTTAGTAGCACCTGGTTGTTTATACATCTTCTGTGGTGAAAAGGTCAATAGAAATTCACCTCTAAGGTCACAGTTGCTAAGCAACTGTTTTCGGCAGTTCTGCAACACCGATCAAGCATATCACGTTCCACTGCCTGGTTTCAGAATAAACCCGCGGAGCATCCTACCTGGCCTTGAATTGCACCGAGCTCCTCCTGCTTTTCCCAAGAGTGCCCATCATGGAGGCACTGCTCAAAAGGATACGTCCTGGGACCACCGGCTTCCTGTTCACAAGGGCAAAGGAGAGCTCCGTCTTCAGGAAGACCACGGAGGGCTTAATGAGGTGCTGCCCAAATCTCAGCATGATAAATGTTAATCTTCAGGGTCTGAAAAAGACAACAGTTAAGATAATTAAGGGACTGACTTTGCCTTCCCAAACAACATGAAGAGGACAATCAAACTGTCCAGGTGTCTTCTAAAAGAAAGCATCTCCCGGGCTCATCAAGGCATTGGGTTTTTTAGGGCAGCCTTACCAACCGTTCCAAAAGTATCACTGCTTTGAAGTGATAGGGCTTCTACTGAAGTGACAGGTGGAAAGGGCTTCTTTCCAAAGCAAAAGTTTTACATATAATTTCTTAAACCCTTTTCTCCTCATTGTGGCAGGGCTACAAAATTCTAGACAGAGAACGTAATTTCTCCCTTCCATTTTTCGATTGTTCTGCATTGTATACACTTGGGTCATCTGTTCTTGGAGAAACAGAAATAGTATTTCAGATGCCCTTTGCCACAATGCAAATCAATGCACACAGGACTTAAGAAATAAAGAAACCACATTTTCTAAATCAATCTCTCCCCTAAATACCTCCATTGAAGAGATACCAGCAAATTAAGGAAAGCATATTTAGTAATTTTCCATCCATGCTTTCCAGTTTGAGGAACTGAAATGTGAAGACAATCAATAGCTGCATGCAACATTTTCTCTTACACAAAGACAGACAAAAACTTCCACTTTCATTCACTAAAATTTTCTCTTCTCCTGGTGAGGATGAAAATCCTTTTTAAATAACTAAGGCACAATCCTAACAGCATCTATTTTAGGTCTTTAAGCCCTAGAGTATTTAAAGTATTTAATTTAATCAGAACTATCCAAGGTGCTGCAGGGTAAAACATGAAGCGATGCAGAATTTCATGTGACACAGAACTTCAGACACATCAAAAGCATTACACTAACATTACCTTGTTTGAACCAAGTGACTAATCAGAAAATTCAGTTTTTTAAGTTGCTTCAGATGGGAAAAGATATTGTTAGAGTCATACAGGGTCTTTTGCTGCAGTTCTCTTCTCGCAAGCCTACTGTGTTTAGTAAGACTCAAACTTGGTTCTTAATCTGAAAGATTTATCCTAATTTAGAGTGCCCCTTCTTGTACCCGCTCCAACAAAAAGTACATATAACCACCCCCTCCAAGTGCACACACTTTGAAAATGTCTTTGAGAAGTGAAATGTGCTTGTTCTTTGGAAGGAAGTTCTGGCTTCTTCAGCTGATTCCACAAAAAATAGTTACAAGAACCAAGGTTAAATTTCTGTTAAAGGCTTCATGGTAAGAGCACCCCCCAAGGTGAAAGTTTTGCTAAGCCAAAGCATCACTGCAGGCAGTTGATTTGGGACTGACAAGGACCACATTGGAAAGCTGATAAGCAATTTAAAAAAAAAAAATTGAACAAGAAATTCAATATGAAGAGCTTTTATTCTATCTTAAATATCTAATTATCCTCGATATTTGACTACACCTCTAAACATCCTACTGTTCCACCCAATATCCTACTAACCGTAGAATAAAAATGTATTGTTCTCTCCCTCTTTACTCTGAGGATTTGGAATCCTGTTTAGATTTAATAGCAGAGTACTAATCTGGCCATAAGACCTCCATTTAACATCTGCACACAAGAGATGTTAAATTCATGGGAAATACCATATCTCAAAATGCAAAGAGCTAGTACCATGAAGCAGTGGGCAAAATGTACCAGAACGATGGAATGGAACCCATGACTCTACAAATCTCTACATCATCACAGGTAGTTTGTGCAACCTTCGAGAATACTTTTGCAATCCACAGTAATGCCATAAAGGAGAAGGGTCTTCTCAGGATCTTCACCATCTTTTGGCCTCTATCAGACTCTAACCATAATTTCATTATTGGATATTTTTTTTTAATTAACCCTAAGCTACATTGGGAAAAATTTATATCTGGTAGCGATACCAGAAAAAAATCCATACATCCTTCTTCATTTTCATAAAAAGGTTTTGTCAGCTGAGTTGACATCCTGCATAAACACAGTCAATATTTCTCAAAATAAACATATGCAGCATTATTAGTGACAGAGGTTGGGTTGTCATTGCTCTCTAATATCGATAGGTATTTTCAATGCTTTAAAAACAATTAAAAATTCATTTTCAGAAAATGCTAAATGGATCCATACCTAGATTCTGTGGACTCCAGAATTTAGGTTGACTATACCATATAATGGTATACGGTATGGTATAATAATGGTATACCACCTACCACATGCTAATTTCACTGCTAAAAAAAAGAGTCCAGGGAGGATCAGTAGAGTAAAAGCATTGGCCTCACACCTCCCTAAGCAACAGTTTGAACAATCAGGTAACAGCCCAATTGGGTTGACCCAAAATCATTAGACACTCTTAAATCTCATGTACACTATTAAAGCATGTATTAAAATCTTTTCTATCTGCTTACTATGCAATAACATGTCTGCATAATGTATTTCTATCTCTTGATTCATACTAAATAAATATAGCAATAAATATTTCAAGTAAACGTGTCAGGTGTATTGGTTGCACGACATAACACTGCAGACTTCCCAGTGCTGTTCAATTCTGAAAGGGGATTATGGGAATTTATTTTTTTTCTTAAACAATTACTCATGATCTATTATATATTACTTAAGCTGTTTTCTGCCCTAGTGATCCTCTGCATTTTCCTGTAAAGCATGATCATCTGTGCTCAGAACCAATACAAATGCTAAAAATACATCAGGGAAGTGAGTAAAGGATAGAACTGAAAAATCCGTGGCTGTGCAGCAACACACCGCACCATGGCTGGAATATTCCGGAGTGCAGCAAGGCAGGAAACTCCTACCAGCAGAGCAAGTTTTCAGTCATCTGAAATCTACCTGCCTGTTGCTCGAACGGCCTGTAAACAAGCAGGAATCAATACAGTACAGGTGCATGTATGTGTGCAGGCCATGAGATGCAAACAGTGTGTGCACAAGGTTTCCCAGCTGATTGGAAGCACCTCACCAGGTCTGTTGCTCCAGGGATTTCCATTTTTCACCTAATGAGGAGGTTATTGCCAGCTAAAACAGAAACTAACTGTAATTGGTGAAAGATGTTTCTTCTTTAATGATAGTAGTCTTTCTAATTCTAGTAATAAGGAGGACAATTACATAGTAATGTTAGAAAATGAAAGAAATCCATTTCTGATACAAGAAAATTTCAGCCCAGTTTAACACAGTTTCTATTCTGACTATTCAGATGAAAACTGTATTTACTCTTCTTCATATTGCACATATACATTACAGTGCCTATTTCATCTGCCTCATTTTCCTAATTAAATTTCTTTCAAGCTGTGTTCCTGCAGTTGTAGGTGGCAATATAGTATTAAAGGCTAACATAGCAAGTAGACTGATTTTACAGCCACAACAGATCTCAAGTCTGCATAACCCATAGAAGAAAAAAAAAAAAATTACACTGCCATTCTACATTACACCCTGAAAAAGGTGTTGAAATTAAGAAAAACATTGAGATACACTGAAATATCTTCAAATATTATTAAAGTTTTTTTAAAATTTCAAGAATAGGCACATTGTATTTGCCCTGCCTATGTAAATACTACTCACACATTTAATGTATTTTTGAGAAGAAACCTAAACACAGGTCTCAATTCTCAAAGTGTATTTGGTTTCTGGAAAGCCATCACAACATTGACAAGTTAACCAACAAATGCAGAATCAAGCAAGATATCAAAAGCACTACGCCATCCATAACACATGTAGAGGGCATAAATATTTTTAAATTATGTAGAAGTAGTTGTCAAATTAATTTCTACAGCAAGCATTTTGGAATATAAATTAGGCCAACTTGTTTGTTGCTTATAATTCAGGTAAAGGATGCAAAACTATACACAACAAATTAAAAGGTTTGTAGAGACAAAAGAAGTGTATAATCCACTAAAAACTTAAAGAAAAATGAAGACTTAGAAGAGTCATGAAAGCACTAAGCATGCACTATATCCTTCAGCTGTCTGTATGTATACCATGTTGACTAGAAGATGTCTCATATAGCGTTTAACCATACTGAGAAAATCATCGTGGCAGCAGAAGCTCATTGTTTGCCTCTGTGCTTAGGTAACAGCTCAACTTTTCCATATACTGTGACTTGTTTCCAAATATAAAATTTTTGGTGTTGTTATTTTGACACCCTCGCTATACCTGCAACTTTACTTTTTTCAGAAAACTTTTATGACTGACATGAAATAAAGTTCCTGTCTTGCATTATACTGGAGTTGGTTTATGTCCATTTTACACCAGAATACATAAACAAAAACTTAACACACTGCAATATTACAGAAGACATCTTTCAAACAGAATCCCAGTTCCAAGACTTGATCTAGAGCTTCACAATCTTCTCTACTAGACATCTGTGCCCTGTTTTCGTCATATTAGCAGAGATGATCCAAGATTATGATTCCTCCTTCCACTGTCATGTGAGAAGATGACATAAATCCAAAGAAAAGTCTGACAGAACTAAGAACTTTTCAAAATCTATGTATGAACTATATCAGTGATTTTAAGGAAGATGATTTATGAAATGGGATATAATCAACAGGTTCACCTCCTCATTGACTTCTACTGAAAGAGCAAAACATGTCCAAGCATACATATGCAGTAAAATCAGTGATGTTCACAAGTCTTTCCTTAGTGTTAATCTCCCAGGGGAAAAAAACCCCAAAACCACACATTATATTCAAAACATTGTTTAATAACTTGCATACACCATAGGTATTATCCTGTTGCATGGAGAAACCAGGGTTTTGGTTTTGCCTCTGAAAGTCATTCTGACGAACGAGACCTTTAGTGTTGTAATAACTATTGTGAGTAAGGCAACAGCCAATAGCTTTCATAAAGAAGGAACACGGAATAATGTATTACCAACACTAAGACCAAGTGAAAATACATTTTTATCAGGGGAAAAATATTAATATAAATTCTGCCATTTTTTTAAAGTAGAAAGGTAAAAAGCAGAAAAGGAAAAATTCAAGAAAATGCTACACAGCTCGCACTAAG